AAAGCAGGCAGCTGCCAAACAACGTTATAAGGGAGCATTGCACAACTTCAAACGAGCATGTTCTCTAACTGATCAGCAACCTAACAACAAAACAACGTTAACTGGGAGAACTTTAAGCGAGGTGTTACTGTATAGCCATCGGTATAGCTACGCAGTGCAATATCTGGTGTAGATGGTCAAAGCCTGCTGTTTGCAGCAGGCAAGCCTACCCATATTAAAGATGGGATGAGCTCCAGTGATGCAAATAGTGGCTTTGCTTGTCCAGTTTAAGGGTTATACCAGTGCAGTCAAACTAATGGCAGGCCAATTATGGCTGTAATCAGGACAAATTTCCAGTCGAGACAAGGTGGAACTTATGCAGCATCCTGCAACCTAATACATGTCTGAACCTTTGTGTACCCTAAAAGAGGAGGTTATACCTGTAACTGGAGGTTCTTCGAGATGTGTGGTGCCTACCTGTATTCCACTGTGAGTTAGACATGCACATCATGTGCCCAGAATCGGAGAACTTTGAAAATAGTGTCTGTTAGTCTGTGCATGCACCCAGGCTCACCTCATGCTTCTGATCAAGGCAATAGAGGGCAGGGCAGATCAATCACCTCTTCAGTTCCTTCTCCACCATGAATCAGAAAGATCCAAAGCAGAAGGGAAGGAGGGCAGGTAGTGGAATACAGATAGGGATCATACATTTCAACAAACCTCCAGTTATAGGTAATTAACCTCTTCTTCGAGTAATGGTCCCTATTGTAGTCCACTGTCGGTGATTGACAAGCAATACCTAAGTAGGAGGAGGGTGCGAGGATCAGGACAGTAGGGTCGAGCAGAGGACCGCTGTTCCAAAGGAGGCATCAGCAGCCGAGTCCTGCACCAGGGCGTAATGTTTTAAAAATGCGTGGATGGAACTCCACATAGAAGCTTTACAGATATCTAGGAGGGTACATCCTGAAGAGACGCCATGGGTGCTGCGCTCTGTGGACTGAGTTCATACCCCTGTAGGGGGAGAAAGTTTCAAGAGCTGACAGAGTACAATGCATCCAGATACCCATTTAGAAATTCTCTGGGTGGAGATGGCACGCCCCCAACACACTCTGTTATGGCAATAAACAGTCTCCAGGACATCCTGATAGGTCTTGTTCTCTTCAGGTAAAAGGCCAAAGCTCATTGCACATTGAGGGAGTGGAGTCTACGTTCTTCTACAGGAGTGTGAGGTTTCAAAAAGAATACAAGTTAAATGAATGGATTAATTAAGGTGAAACTGTAACTACTTTAGGGATAAATTTGGGGTGTGGGTGTAAGGAAACTGTCTTTGCCGGTGACAGGGGGTCCCGGGTCTTGTGAGGAGCTGGAGATGGTGGTACCAATGGAACACGGCATGGAGCCAGTGGAGCCCAACATTTCTGGGACTTAAGACGTACTGAGTCCTCATAGGCAGAAAAATCAGACATCCCATCCACCAGCTTTGAAGTGGACTTAGAGGAAGACTTAGTCCCATGCTTATGACAGTGTTTCCTAACTTCTCAACTAGGCCCCGTCACAGGATCTGTGGGGGTGGATTCTCCAGCACCGGAGGCGGACTTTGCAGCAGGAGGCGTACACCTTGCTGATTCAGGATGATATATGGGGGAGTTCCCTGGCCTCGGTCTGATTGGGGTCTCATGGCCATCTCCAGGAGATACTTGTGGAGGCGAAGTGCCCACTCTCTCAGGTACAACTGGGGAAAGAATGGCAAACACTCTACTGAGCCACAATGTAAGCTTCCTCCAGGCAGTAGAGAGAGCACTGATGGTCGTCACTGAACAAGAAGGATTGCGGGCAGGAGATGCATAGTTTGAAGCACGGAATTCTGAGCATAGTCCGGTACCTGAACATTGGAACGAGGAAAGGAGGGGGAAGGGGGGGAGGCTGTAATCTGATTCTACTCTAAAACTATTAAAACTACTAATCACTAGGTTTATTTAAGAAATAATAAAACTATTTGCAACTGCTGTGTGGTAAATCCAGTAGGGAGCCTCGAAGGGCCTAGTACAACCCCATCACAAGGCCCAATTAAAAAAGCACAGATTAACTGCTCATTGGAGCACATGGTGCACAAGGGACCCACTAATGCTTACCAAATGCGAATTTACTATAAGAGAAGGGTCCATCACTTGCACTGCAGATTTTCTCTGGAAAAGGGAATCCCCAGTGAGTCAGAGCCCTCTGCCACACTCTTCTCAAGTGTGAGGGTCCATACACCTACACTAATATAAGATGGGCGACAGAGAGCCAGATAGCCAAACAGCACATGGCGCAACAATGTCCTTTCCAGTGCTTTGTGTCTCTCTCCATTAATGGCAACTGACTGACCCCACACTTGGTCAGAATGTCAGAAGCCCACTAACTGTTAGTGATATGCAGTATGTTTTCACAGTGATTCAAGGCAAAAACTGGACAGGGTCAGATGAGGCGACAGCTGAACTAGCAGTGTTGGAATAATTCTGAACATTGATTTGTCATTTTTATAGGGCTAATGAGCCAGCAGCAGAAAGAGCTTATGTTTGAAATTACAGACTAAAAGGGCTGAAATTGTTCAGTACCTCACTTCATATGTGAAAAAATATAAGCTGTTTCTAATTTGAGCGATATTAAAAAACATTCAAAGCATGACAGGTTCAAATTTATCCTGCTCTTCTCCACCCTTTTATATCTCATTTACAAAATCCATGTAATTTTTATATAGGTATTCCTCCCAACATGAAAAAACCTACAATTTTTCCTAGAAAACACTTTTTGGGGGAAAATGATGCCAGAAACCCAGAAACTCATCCTTACAATAAGAAAACTAGTTTGCACACCACACAAAAAGAAAAAAAATAAAGGTGGTAAAAATTTTCATTTCAAATGCTATAGATATTATGAACTGAGGGAAAAGGGTTTTAGAAGTGGAAAATGATCTAATGTCTGATCTTTGATCACATTTCTATATTTCCTCAGAATAAATACTGGCAAACTAATTAAGTTTTAAGAGTATTTATACAGCTACAATTAAACAGTGGCTAAGGAGGTTTCCCTGTGCTAGTGAAAGTTTTACTGCCTTAAGGTAAAAATTTAGCAAGCTATACACACCATTCTTAGTTCCAATATGAATTTATCATCATTAAGGATACAACAATCATGTAGGTTACGGATTCCATGACTTTCCAGAACTTCCAGGACTTCTGGGGCAGGACCAGAACAGTTGACCGGTGACCAGTCCCAGGGCCGCCAGAACAGCTGACCGATCCCTCACCCGCTGGAGCAGCAGCTTGGATTGGGTCAGTCCCTCTGGGGCTGTAGCAGCAGCGGTCAGTGCTCTGTTTGTCCCTATACCCCCCAAGGTATTTTTAATAAAAATCAGGGACAGGTTGCAGACTTCCGTGAATATTTGTTTATTGCCTGTGACCTGTCCCTGACTTTTACTAAAAATACCTGTGACAGAATTTTAATTTTAATCATCATGCAGCATAGCTATATATCAAGTCTTGGGGCGAGAGTCTAATCCTCATACCGTCCCCCTGGTGGTAAAAGGGCTGAAGTAGTATGCAAGTGCTCTAAAGGGGGAATTTTCCTGGTGCAGGCATTGTGAAGACCACTACTTTGAACCCTCCCTTCACACACCCCACTTGTGAGTCCTAGCATATGGGCATGTCAATGACAAGGCCACAGCACTCAGAGTTATGCAGTTTCTGAATTCAGAACTCCAACCCCATGGGAAACCCAAGGAAATTGTTGTAACTCAGACAGATCCCCCAGAGCCGTTCGAGTTATGCCAGGGGCCTCACCTGGCCAAAGCATCCCAGGATCAGGAGGGCACAAAGGTGGTTTAAAAGTGGTCTTAATCTTCCCCCCAGCTGCTCTTAGAGGCATAGCACAGAATCTTTCCCTTTTTTTCTAACAGGCCTGAGATAAAATACAGTTTATTTTATATATATAAGTTAACCTTTCATGATACAATGCAGAACCAACATAAGCTAAAAAGTGAAAATGCTCTGAACACAGGTCCAAAGGAGCTTTTCACAGGATGGCTGGCCCCACTAAATGAAGCAGGGTCCAGCTCCCCTGTGCCAGAACAGGTGCCCCCAGTTTGGCCAATTAGAGAGCCAGGCAGCACATGGTACTATAAAAAACTAGGAGATCTGAGGGAGGAAGAGGGAGACCTAGTGAGTTAAGGCTGCCTGTCAGCAGACTCCCTGGAAGGAGGAAGGAATTATCAAGGAAGCCAAGGAAGGGATTAGCCTGCTGACTATCAGAAGTCAAAGCAGTGCCAGGAAGCTGAAAAGGGCTGAGGGCTCGGAAGCCCATGGAAAAGCTAGCCAGCTATCCTTCCTGGGCGAGAGAGCCATGGTCAGAAAAGGCTGGAGAGGGCTGAAGGCAGCAGAGGAGGTTCCTGCTGGCGCTCAAAACCAGAGAGCTGAAGCGAGAGAAGGCTGAAGGCTGACACCCCAGGCATGGTTAAGAACACCAGGGCTGTGCTCGAGACCCAGGACACAGTGAGGGACACTGGGGTTGCACTGGATAGCCAGGGCACTGACGAGGGATGCTGGGGCTCTATTTGATGTACTGTGTGGAGACAGGCCTGAAACTGTAGAACGTGGTGTTGGAACTTGTTTTCTTATGGTTTATGTGCATGGAACTGTATTTATACTTTGGAAGACTGTTTGGACTATTTCTGGAACTACAAAAGGGGAAACTAAGGCAGGCGTGTCTGTCATGCTGCGGCCAACTGCAGGAGGGCACTCCAAGCAGGACGCCCCATGACAGCACTTTTATGAAGTCTTACCCTACATATCTCCATCTCAAAAAAATTAGTTTGGTCCAAAGGTGTAACAAATTTTAGCTTTTACCACGACATGCACTTTTTTATCTTATTGTATACATACAAATATTATATTTTCTTTAAGAAGCTTACATATAAAATATCAACTGCATTAGAACATATTATAAGTATTTTGTTTGCATTAAAATATTGTAAACATACATACCTCCGATTCTTTATCACTTAGAGATCCCAAGCTTCCAAAACTGTGATTAGAACTTTCATTATTTGTTGAGGCCTATTGAGAAAAATAATATATCACACACTATGTTCAGATTTATAAAACAGCTAATAAATTACAGTATTTGCAGTTATGCAAAGTAAGGGTAATCAAATTTCATGCTTCAAGACAAAGTGCTCAACTGCAGAGACCATATGACCTGCAAGCAGAATACCAGATTTGATGGACAAATGGTGTGCTCCAGCACAGTAAATTCTATGTTCTTAATTGCTTCTAAAGCTATTCTGAACAATGTAGTTTGCTACCAAAATTGGAAAGGAAACAACTGTACATACATATCCTCTCTGAAAAGAATGCACAAACACAATTTACAGGATAGACCACTAACTCATGAAACAGTCACGCCAATATAACAGCCGTAAGGAAAACACTTAAATGATTAAGAGGTTATGGATGAGGAAGTGTCTACACTAGAGAGCTTACAGCAACACAGTTGTACCAATGAAGCTGCATGGCTATAAGATCTCTCATGTAGCAGCTCTATGCCAACGGGAGAGAGTTCTCCCATCAACACAATTAAACCACCCCCAACAAGCGGCAGAAGCTATGTCTGTGGGGGAAGCTTGCCCACCGACATAGCTCTGTGCGCACTACCCCTTATGCCGGCAAAACTTATGTTACTCGAGGTGTTTTTTTCACACCCCTGAGTGACATAAGTTTTGCCAACGTAAGTGGTAGTGTAGACATGGCCCAAGAAGTATGTCAGATACAGAATCAAGTTATCATTTTGAAGGGCTTTCCTTAAAAAACACACCTCTAGAATGAGCCACATTCCTCCAGCCTTATTTTAGACCAGCAAAGTATCTGATAGATACTTCTTGAAAGCTGTGACTCCAGAGGATGCATTTATATACCCACTAATGCTAGTAGATTTGAAGAGAGAGTTAGCAATTCTTTCTTTTTGTAAGGAATGTAGCCTTCTTGTCTGAGATTAGGATTCTGACAGGATAAAAAAAAAACAACCCATGTGGCTATTAGATAGCTTTTAACACTAGGAACCTTATCTTACCTTAGACCTTAGTTCCTCCAGTGCCACTAACATCAGGCAGCCCAATTCTTCTACTGATTATGATCTCTCACTAGGTCTGGTACTTCTTCCCAGGTGATTGCCAGTGCATTCGATATCCTCTGTCACTGTCTTCTACTAGTTCTTCCCTGACTTACTTAATTTTCTTTTTTTCTCCCTTCTTTAACCAATTCAACACTTGCTTAGCATGTCTCCCATCTTAAATACAATGCACATGTCACAACCACCTGAGGCTTCTTTCTTTGGTATGTTCTAGAATGTCCTGCTCTGTCAGTTCCCATACCCTCACATTTGTTATTATGTCTTTCCATGAAATGTATAGAATCTTTCCCAGTCATCTGTGATGGGCAGCCTCCAATCTCTTTTTGTTAGCCACCGTCATTGGCCAACTCTCTGCTCCATACTGTAATGTTCTCAGTACAATTGCAAGATATAATCTGACCTTTAGTTTGGTGTGGAGACCTCTGTTTGACCAGATGTTGTTCATCTTTCCAAAAGTGATGTCTGCTTTTCCTAATCGCATATGAATATCCTTATCGTAGCCACCATCAAATGTCATCACATTGCCCAGATAGCAGAACTCTTCTACCTGTTCAATACCTTTTCCCTCCACTTGCACTTTTGCACCTGTTGTCTGGCTTTCTACCTTCATGATCTTGGTTTTCTTTAGTTCCAATCCAATTTTTGCTGCTTCCTATTCTACCTCTGACGTAAGAACAACCATTCAGTTCCACATCATACTTAGTAAAGCAATGTTGCTGGCAAAATCAAAGTTGTGTAACATCTCCACTAACCACAGTCTATGGTGCCTTATTATTACAGATGTGTCTTGTTCACAGCCTGGCTGTTAATGTCTCTTTCACTGGCTCCCAAGCCAACAAGGTCTTTGCTGTGATGTTATCCAGCATAATTCCTACACCTCCTAATACATTCCTCCTCCTGAGTATAAGATTGTAGCACAAACACCATCTTGCCCCTCCTCACCTATCTCCTCTCACAGACATCAAGTATGTTCAGATCTTTTTTTTTTAATTTCTCATGTAACCTATGCCAGCTTTCCTGTACTATGCAAAGTACACATATTCCACATATTTATTCTTGTTACAAATTTTATCGTCAGGATTCTCAAGATCTCAGCTTCCTTTTGGCTTTCACTGACACCTGTCATACTTGGGTTTTCAGCCCCATCATCTAACGTCCTCAAGTTTTGGTTTGACTGAGATGTTTCTGTTGTAGAAACATCTCAAACCTAATGGCAGAACCCTCCTCTTTTATCCGAAAACTAATTTATTGCCAGTATTTTCCTACTCTTTAAACATAAATAGTTTTCCCTATATAAAAGGGTTAGACTGCCAAGAAAAAATAAGAAGTTAAACCATAAATATCCTTGGGTTGTAAAAACGTATGAAGTCATGAAGCCTGAGAAGTAATGTAAAACAGGACTTTTCTATGGCCTGGTTTATATCTATTCAGCGATCCGTTTGACAAAGAACGGCAACAAAGTCCTTTGGTGAAAAAGCTTGCCCTATTGCCAATGCATTTGATATCTGTTAGGCTGTCCATTTTCTACCTCCTTGATCACTGGATTGTTCTCTTTTCTTCCACAAATCCAATACCCAAAAGCAAGGCTGTGCAGAAATATTATGATGCAAAATTATAACTTGCCACAGCAAGTGCTCATCTTGGAGACACTGGATCATTGAATTCCATTATTCAGCCAGTTTAAAGAATGAGACTGACCTCAGACTAGATGATGACTTGGGAATTGAAGTTCCTATTGAAACATAACCAGAATAGATAGAATTGGTAGGTTTTTCTCAGGGATCTTCCTTGTTATCTAGGAACATCTTCAGGTAATTCTTTGTCATGTCATATCCAGTGTTCCTCTGACATTTGTTTTATTTGGACATAGAAACCAACCAGGAGCACCCATTTTGAGAATCTATTTATTATGGTTTTCACCTTATGTTCTGCAAACTTATAATAACTGTTTTGCAGCAGGTTAGATAGAGATAGCCTTTTCATAACTGTTCTTCCCAGGAAATAAGGGGAACTTTCACGTACCTGCCCATCAAGAGAAGAGGAAAGTTCTAGAATCTCAACTAATTGCTTGAACAGGAAACACGATGTACTTAGGTGCAACTACTGTGCGTCTTACTGGTTTCAGACAGTAGAAAAATGAGGACATGGGGGAGGGACATATGTAAAGGAATATCTCGTCGTTCTCTCTCCCAAAATGAAAGCTGTCCTAGAGGATTCATATATCCCATTTTCGCAGTGATCCTTGAACATCAGACTAAAAGAAACTTTTATAGCAAGTATAATATGGAATCCAAAAGCCAATGTTTTTACTGGAATAAGAGACTAAACTAGAAAATAAATCATGTCAACCTACCCCAGATAGGCTACAGCATTTTCTGATGAGACCCATTGTCATATATGGTGTGTGTTTTATAGATAGTATATTTTCTTAAATTACAATTAAATTAATGCTTACAGAGAGGTTTAAATAGCCACCCAATTCTACTTACTTTAGCTCCAACACTGCAACTTCCAGTACTCCCAGTGCTGCCACTCACTACTCCTGTAAATCTGGCCTCTAACAATTCTTGCCTTCTTGGGTCCAGGCTATGAAGCTCATCCATTGCACCTAAGAAAATAATATTAATTAGTTGTATTCTATAACCAACTTGCTTGCACAAGAATGTTTCCAAATAACGTATACAAAATCTTCACTATAGTACAGACCATAACAAGCTGCATGAAGCAAGGTCTCTCACTCAGCTCTATGGCATATCTATCTGTCTATTGTACAGTAACTCGCGAACATCTAACCAATTCCAAAATTTCAGGGAATGTTCTATACCGAACCTTATTAATTTTGGTGAAAATCAGAAATCCAGAAGGGGAAAAAGGAGACACCAGGAGCCCCTTTATCATGTTAGCAGATCCAGCAACTTCAACCACCTCAGTAATTGTCTAGATCAAGGGTTGGCAACCTTTGAAAAGTGGTGTGCCAAGTCTTCATTAATTTAAGGTTTCGCGTGCTAGTAATAAATTTTACATTTACAGAGGACGGCAGACGGAAGCCCAGACCGGCAGCCCAGGCAGCGGACGGAACCCCAGACTGGCAGCCCGGGCGGCGGACGGAACCCCAGACCGACAGCCTGGGTGGCGGACGGAACCCCAGACCAGCAGTAGGCTGAGCCACTCAGTCCGCTGCCAGTCTGGGGTTCTGTCCACCAGCTCCTGCCAGCCAGGATCCCGGCCGCCGGCCCCCTGGCTCGGAGCAGAGTGCCACTAGAAATCAGCTCACGTGTCACGTTTGGCACACACGCCGCAGGTTGCCGATCCCTGGTCTAGATCAAAAACTCAATTGATGGCAGCCATTAACACCTTCCAAGCATAACCTCCTCCACTAGCTCTGCCCATGGTCCAATACAACTTAAATATATTGTCACCTTGAATCATAGGCACCGACTTCTGCTGGTGCCAGCGGGTGCTCGACCCCCCTCTGCCCTATGCCCTGCCCTCATTCCAACCCCTTCCCCAAAGTCACCACCCCAACTCCGCCCCCTCCCTGCTCCTATTCCAACCCCTTCCCCAAATCCCTGCCCTGGCACTGCCTCTTCCCCGCCTCCTTCCCTGAGCACGCTGGGTTCCCGCTCCTCCCCCGTCCCTCCCGGAGCTTGTTACGCTGCGAAACAACTGTTTTGCGGCGGCAAGCGCTGGGAGGTAGGTGAAGAAGTGGGGTGCAAAGCGCTCAGGGGAGGAGGCGGAGGCGAGGTGAGCAGGAGGTGGGGAGGGGAGGGAAGCTTGGCAGCCCTGGAGCACCCACTGAGTTGGCGCCTATGCCTTGAATAGTTTGTCTCCCAGACTGAAAAGAAATAAAAATGGCGAAGAGGAAGAGGGAATCAGGGTATGGGGAAAAACAGGCACAAAGAGCTCCTGGCATGAGGAGAGACTAGGGGCCAATAGGGGAGGAGGACATGCAGCACAGAGTCCCTGCCATTATGTCAAAGGGCTGAATGGAGGTATGAGGGAGCACAGAGGGATGGGGGACGCATAGAAGCCCTTGCAGGGGGAGAATGGCGAACCCTGCATGGGTGGCACAAAGAGCCATTGGCAAGTTGAGGCGAGCTGGAAGCAACAATAGGAGGGGAAGGGGCACAGATTTCCCTCATATACAGTGAAGGGGGAGTGGTGGGGCAAACAGAGCTGCTGACATGAGGGAGGGCAGTGGATGGGTTACAAGGAGTCCCTGACATACAGAGAGAGGGGAAGGTGGCACACAAGGAGCTCCTGGGGGAGGAATGGAGGGATGTGTGTTCAGTGAGCTCGGCCTATAGAAGCAGCAAAGCATGCAACCCTCTAGGTTACATTATAAACCACTTATGGATCTAAACCAATCTGATTGAGGAAGTGGACATTCCTAATACTCTGAATTTGCACAGAGAATGATTTATATTGTGCAACCGCTCTCTGCTTGTTCCAGTTCAACTACTGGATTGTTACATTTTCAAGTGACATTGAAAACACTAAAAAGTTTTAGTAAAGTTTGCTAAAACAAAGTGAAGTTACTTCATTCTTAAAGCCACACATTTTACATAGCATTTTTTGTACAAACTATATCCCACTTAATCCTAAAAGATTTTAAAAAGCAAGGATCATAAATACAGTATAATATAGGGCATCAAGGTGGACTGATTTAAATCAAAGCTATTTAAATTGCTGATTTTAATCATTATTTTAATCAGCAAGCAGAAAATTTTGATTTAAATAATTGACGTTAATCTTTTGTATTTGTACTTTTTTGTTATTTTCCTGAAGAAAGATTGTTTCTTATTGGTTAGTAACCATTAAACATGTTGATTTTCAACTAAACATTGCCTTTACACTAAATTTGGCACTTTTGCTAACCAGGAGGATATGCTGTACCTACACATTTATTTCAGCAATTACATTAGTTTAACATACATTTACTTAGAGTCTTAATTTTGACCTTTTTATTATCTTAGAAAATGGTGAATGATGCATTTCTGATTTATTAGATTGATATTTTTACTCATTATTTCCATCATGCTCTATTTGGATGGAAATTAGAATTCAATTAAAAATGCTTTAAAGAGCATATTTAAAAAAATTAGTTGGATTAAACTATCTTAAAATATGACTAAATAAATTGTTTAACAAAACATATTTTGCTTTTAAGACTAATGATTTATTAAATAAAGCAAGTATTATCTGTAGTTAGTGAACTGTTAGTGATCGTTTTTGGTCACCGTGTCCTTCCAAGATTTTAGAATTAGTAGATCTCATCTTCGCACACCTAGTTTTTAATAGGCCTGCATGAATAACCAATTTTTCAGTTTTGTTGTCAACCTGAAAACAAAATTGCTAAAACATCTGTTTCAGATTAACGCAAAACAAAAAAGTACAGGTTGTTTTTTTTTTTTTCCAAAAAAGAAGAAAAATTACTTTTGGATCAACTGAAACACTTTAGAGTGACCCAAAACATTTTTTTCCAGTTTTTCATTTTATTTTGTTTTTGGTGGCGGGGGATATTTTTTATTCTTTTTTAATTAAAAGTAGGTAAATTCCTAAATGAAATTTCTTGATGAAACAAAAAATTGAAAAAGAAATGAGATTTCCAAAATCTTTTCCTTCATCTGAAACTATTTGCTGGATGCAACTCAAATCTGCAAATAGTTTCGGTCAACCAGAATCTACATTTTATGGTGTGAATAAACTGGTTTCTTAACTTTAAATTAATGAGTTACTGAACCGAACGAGTTGAATAACCTGAAATGAAGAAAATATTCTCTCTGCATCTGCGGAAGAGGCTACCACTGTCAAAAGCTGAGTTAACATTTTCCCAGACTCTGGTTCCAGGTATTTAGCCAGTGATGACTTTATCAGAAGATCAGGTTTTTTGGATCTCCTTTTTCCACAGAGGGTATAGCTTACAAATTATCAGTATTCCTATTAACTTATCCTTATCAAATTAAACATTGTCCTTGGATAGGTCTGGTAATCACGGCAACATTGTAGTTTCCATCCCCATTAGTACAGTACAAAAAGTGAATGTAGAATCTTAGTCATAAGATTTAAAATGTAAATATATAGCACAACCATTTTAAGGAAATACTTATGCTTTTTCTATGTCAGAGCAGCAGGTTGTGTTGCATAATTAAAGCACCAAGATTGAGTGCATCCACGCTACTCACCCTGACAGTGTAAGGTTTGCCCTTACCACATTAGAGGTGCCATACAAAGAATCAGGGAAGGCTTGCTGTTAGCCAATATCATATGCTGTCAGAATGCTTTGTATTTAGGCAAAGTTGTACAACTATGAACCATACTCCCAGAATGTCTTGTACTCATACCAAGCTTTACTGTGGAAACATAGTACGGGTTAAATTATTGTAACCTTTGTTGTTTGTATATAAAGAATCTGTCAGAAGCAAGATATATGTTTTGTTGAGGTGTGCCAAGTATGAATCGTGTGCTAGCTACAGTTAGGGTAGATCTCTACTGTCTACTGACACTTGGAATGTTACTGTGTGTTGAGAACTGAGTGTAAATGTCTATCATTTAATGCTACTTGTATGCTTGTCTACTAACATTTAAAATGTACAAAACTAAATAAGAGAAGGAGTGTAAGGTCTGTGGAATCTTCTATCTGTCATAAACAAGGGAAACATAAATAAGAGCCAAAATAAGCTCACAACTTGAAACAGAGCAAAGATGTAACTGCTGCAAGCCTGTTCTCCAGATTGGTAATGTATTAACCTTTCTGTATTATGCTGATCTATCTTTGATTAATCAACTGATTGAACATGGTTACCTGGTGTTGTATCATAGGTCTACACAGCATACGTGGCTTCTGGGGCTCGGGGCTGTTTCATTGCTGTGTAGACTTCCAGGCTTGGGCTGGAGCCCAAGGTCTGGGACAGTCCCACCTTGCAGGGTCTTAGAGCCTACTCTCCAGCCTGAGCCCAGAAGTCTACACAGCAATGGAACAGCCCCGCAGACCAAGCCCCATGAGCCCAAGTCAGCTGGCACAGACCAGTCACATATCTAGTTGCTGTGTAGACATACCCAGTATGGCCTTCACAGTTCTAGCCATTTTTTGCTCCCTAATTATTATTTATAACATAGCAGCACCTACTATAAATTGAATAAATTAGGGACTACGCTGAAAGGACTTGTGGAGCGGGGAGCCAGGAACCTCCACCTCCTTCAAATGCAGGCAGATTGTTGGGCTTTATTAAGTATTGAGAAGACTTCCATTTATATGGGCAGAGAGGCCTTGCAGATTTAGCAGCACCCAGATGGCAGGAGTTACCTGTCCATGACCCGAAGAGTAAGACAAAAGGATGGAGGGAGAAACTGAAGGACAGAGAGGTGAAGTGACTTGGCCAAGGTCACAAAGCAAGTCAGTGGCAGAGCCAGGAATAGAACCCAAGATTTCTGGTTACAGCTGGTCAGGAATTTTCTGATGGAATGTTTTTCCATCGGAAAATGCTGATTTGTTGACAGTAATACATTTTGTGGAAGCACATCAATTTTGACAAATTTTCATTTATAAAAATGACAAAAAGCATTTCCATAATGTTGGATAATATTTTCATAATGGAATGTTTTGAT